TTAGGGGTTTAGGGTTTAGGCAGGTTTACGGGGCCTCTTACGATTTGTGGAGGGCTTGTTTATATCAGGTTGGATTCTATTACAGGGGGTTTGTGTCAGGGCTTTCGAAAGGTTGATATTTTTTGGTGTAAGCTTTTTGCACGGTTTTTGAGGACTACAGGTTTCCCACTAGCTCCGTTCGAGGTTCGGGTCCTCGAGTTTCAGATGTCCGCGCAACAAAAATCGCAGAGCCCCGAAACCGACAGTCAGAAGCGCTGGTTCCAGGCCTCAGACCCTAAACCCTAAACCCTAAACTTAGAACCAAGAGACATCAGCCCTAAGCTGACCGGCCCAATTCCTAAGCACTGAAGGAGGGGCTTGATTTCAATAACGCACGCATACTCCGAAGCTCGCATACCATCAGGTTGAAAAAGCTTGTTTCGCTGAATCTTGTTGCAAGCGCTGCGGGCTTCTTCAGAGGCAGGTTTAGGCTGCATCGACTGGGGTTTGAGGGCTTCATTTGCCGTGTTGGTGCTTCGGGGTTTGCGAAGTGTAGGAGTCCTAGACTGTAAGCCCTAGACAGGCATGCTTTCAACTTCTTGTTGATGCTCTAGATTCCGAAAGGACAATTCTGGGGTCAGAGTTCGGAAGCAGTTGACTTGGTGAATCCGGCGCTTAGGTTTTAGGGTTCCCGTTAATTCCGTTCGTTTGCACTGAGGTTAGTATGGCATTCTGCCGAAGTCATCGTGGCGCATCCCTGTGCTGCTTATCCAAACGGCGCCAAGGTGGAATCCTCTTGGAAGTCTTTGCCGCACGGTTGGCATTTTCGAGTTGAAGTACATCCAAACGGACGTACGGGGCATCAGGGGTTTGTGAGTGCCTGGATCAGAATCCGCCCACCTGCTGTGATGGAAAGAACGGATTGGATCTTTCCGGAGATGCAGCGGGTCAGATTCCTCATCAAGGGCCTTCGAAAGTCCCACAGCTTGCACAGTTCCCAAGCACCCCCTTGTCCGGTCAGCAAGTCTCACGCAGCCTGCGGCCCGCCACGACTGGTTGATCATGACACTGTCCGAAAGAACAACTTGCTCAGAGGTGGCAAACTTCGCATAGTGGGCGAGGCCGCATTTCTGCCAGTAAACTCCCCATGCCGAGATTTGCCGCCAGAGGTTTTTTCCAAGAAGCCAGAGTTCGTGACTTTCCTTTTGGCCGATGGGTCGAGTCTTCACTTTGACAAGAGGCTCGTGGTGGAACGTTCGATACATTTCGCGAACATGCTATCATCCGAAGCCTGGCTCGAGAGTCGCACCAATGTCGTCGACCTGCGGAACAACGAGCAAGCTGATGTGAAGAGCATGCAGGCAGCTCTTTGGCTTGAGGATGCAACGGGCGCTATCGAGAGGTCGGAAATGAGTAACACTATTTACCTTGAAAGTGCTGTGTACTGCAATGTGCCCCGAAACCCCATTCCAATTCCGACGTTAGCAACAGTTAGGGACCCAAAAAGCATATAAGCATATAAGCTTTTTATAGGGATATCCCTACCTTATTGGGCTTCATTATACGGGGATTTATATGGGATATCCGGATCCTAATTTTTGCTTATGTGCCCTTTTGGGGCCCTAAACAGGGGAACCCAAGCAATGCCATGCAGAGTTGACCCGCCGCCGAGGTGCTTTGCCATTTCATGTCGCAGCGGTTTCGCGCGGCTTGCGACGACGACCACGCATTTTCCGTCCGCAAGCTTGCAGATCAGTTCTGCCTAGATGAGTTGGTTCAGGAAGTGGAATCAGAGCTCGTGCCAAGAGTTTGCAAGGACAACCTGCTCAAGTTTTTGGGTAGAGTCCTTGGCAGCGGAGGAATCTTGGAGGCCCGGTGCCTGGAGATGGTGAAAGCCAATGCTTGCGAAGTCCTCGAGAAGCATGGATCTCTGTTGGACCAAGTCGTCGATGATAATCCGGCCCTGGCGAAGTTCTTGATGCGAGTCATGCTAAACGCGCTTAGAGCCGGGCGGTCCTGAGGAGTGCCAAGACTTCCAGAGTGTCGTTTTCCGAAAGAAAGGGACCCGGGGTTCTGAGATGTGGGGCATCACCGAAGAGTAGGACATAGTTAGTAGGACTATATTCGGCGATATGTTGCTTTGCGAGCATGTGTTACCCCAGCGTACTATGCGGTCACAAGCACCCGGTTCCAATCTGTCACGTCCCCGAACGCCTGACCGCACCCTCCAACCTGACCTGAAGCATAATGATTCCCCTCGCCTGCCGATCATCAGAGCGATCATCAGGAATGAAAGGGCACTACTTAATGTACTGAGAGAGTGCCGCCGCGGCATCCTCGATCCCCCAGAGCAAACTCTTCTTCGCCTCCAGGTGTGACGTATCCCCAGCCAGGGGACAAGCTCTACACACACTACGTCGGCCGGGGCTTCGCCTGTCTTATCATGTTCTGGTGCCTTTTACGCTTGGCTTCAGAGTTCTATCATTCTCAGGTTTGGCATTCAGGTTTGTTTGAATTCTACCCGTTACTATCTCTGCAGGGGTTGCGTGTGTGCACATAGGTTTCATCTGAAGCCGTGCTACGTACGGAGATGACCAGAATTCCGAAGTAGCGTTCCGCGGGGAGAACTTCTTCGGTCACTCATAGCTTCTGGCGGCAAGACTCATAGGTGAACCAGCAAAAGGTGGACGAACTACCTTAAGCCCTAAACCGGAAATCCTAAAAGCGCCGAGCAGCCACTCGTGTGTTGCAACTGCGCGCATTAAAGCTCTCCTGCGTTCAGGGCTTTAGGGTCTAGGGTTAGTTAGAGTGTAGGACCAGCCGGAACCGGGTTGAGAAAGCATTGGGAGAGCTTTAGGAGATGGTGGGGCCGCTGAAGAGGTTAGTAGGCTTTGGACACTTGCCGCTACGCGGCGTAGTTTGCAGCGGCTCCATTCGCTTCAAAACAAGGCTGCTCCTCCCAGCACAAGACAGACCCTAACCCTCCAGGTACCTACTATTCAGGGTACTACAGCCCCTAGGGCCCAAAATAGTAGTATAGTAGGTACCTGGAGGGTCAGGAAGATAATTTGCAGATTTCAATCCATGCACCTTTACCCTCAAGTCGCCCCAGTTCTCAGCCTGAACTCCAAATCCTACACCCTAAACTCGAAACTCTACCTGCAGCCCAGGCTTGCTCTACAGCACTAAATTAAGGCTCCGGGGTATCAACTTAGTAGTTGCGTTTTCAGTAAGGACGTCAGATTTGGTAGCACTTGGGCTAAGCTCTCCGATGCATAGCTCCAGTTAACGCGCTTCGCGCTTCCACCGAGGTAGGATCGCGTCTACCGGCGAGCAGATCGACTCCTCCTACGAACGTGGCCTGCCCTTCAGGCTCTTGGCATCCACCATGTGAGAGCGCTTCGAAACTAAATCCTCCAGGGGTATCTCCTCAAAGAAAGGAGTCCTACAAACCATGAGCCCCTCTGATGAAAGGAAAGCTGGCCCAGCACAAGACCCCGAGTGTGGAGTTTGCCAGACTCGTCGGCAGGCGTCTAAAACTTACACCGTAGACCCTGAGCAAAGAAGTTTCCACGGGTAGAACCATATTTGAACCAGGGGAGCTCATGATGGAAGTTTCAATGGAGTGATACTTTTGGAGTTCTATAGATTCTATATCCTCAGACCCTCAGCCCTGGACCCTAAGTCACAACTTCAGGGCCGTGCAAATCAGCGCAGAAGTTTCAACCATGACGCACCGGTGCAAAGTCAAACTCGTATTCGGGGCCGTTGATGAGCCCTAGCTCTAGCCCTGCACCTTGCACAGTAAGTTCGACCCCTAGACCCTGAATCCCCTAAAGCCCTGAAGGCCCCCAAAACCCTAATATGGGGGCCTAAATAATTATCTATACTGTTGTGGGGGGGGGGTCCTTTATCATAATTAGAGCATAACATACCCCAAAACCCTATTCTGGCTATGAAGGCCTCCAAAACCCAATCTGGGTTGTTTGATCCCATGCCCTGCGAGGTTCCAGATGGGGGTCGGCCAGGCCGACAGCGCTTTGCGGGGTGGGTTTTGTTTACATCAGGCCTGTTTCTGGACCTGGGAAGGGGATCTTCTTGGGGGAGCCTGCCGAGATTTTGGGGGAATAGGATCTTCTCGGTTTCGGGTTTTAGCTGTAGGTTCTGGATCTCCGTGGTTCGGGCTCGGGATCTCATGACAAGGGTCCCTCACTTCATACTCAAAGGATTTTTGGCCACTCTCCATGTAAACAACACGTACCCCAAAGGGGCCCGTCATTCAGAGACACCATTCGTGACTTATGGGGCGAAGTCTTCACAGGTTTAAGGGAGCTTGGACTGAGAGGTGCAGGGCTGTGGGCAATCGCGTTGCAGTGGCCTTGAGGCCGCTGAATTCAAATCGTCTACTTCTGTGGCCTGTTTGGTGGTTTCTGCTGTGACCGGTGGTGTGCCAGAAGTAAACGAGCTTGAGGACTATAGGCCTAGGCATTGAGTATAAACCAACCTGGAGATTTTGGCGCCTGCGCTCAGAATTAGTCTAAGGGGTTACAGTGTAACCGTTACACCCGAAACCCAGAGAATCGGAGCCTTCGTGTGCTTCTTCACAGAGAATATAGATATAGTAGAGTACTAGAATAGAATAGAATAGAACAAAATAGAACAATAAGATTAAAAATAGTTTGAGACCGTCTTCTAGGTCTCATTTTGCGGACTTCTTGCTCCAAAAGCCTCGGAGCTCCATGGCAGGTCATCGCCGGCTGGGATGAGGGTATCCGGAAGTCTGCGCCTGAGTGACCAAGTTTCTCCCTATCTTATTCCTGACAAAGTTATATACTTACATCAGATTATATATGATCAGGTCTATCCCTGACAAAGTTATATACTTACATCATATATGACCAGGTCTTGCAGCCCAGGCCTTTCTAAGTTCATCTTGTGTCTGCTACCGTCACTTCTGGGATTGGGCAGCAGCCGTTGAAAAACGGCTGCCGCTGGCCATCGTGCTACAAGAAAGGCCTCTTAGACGGGTATGAGTATCTCGTGCTCGAACGACGGAGAGGACAGAGGTCTTTGGACGCTAAACTCGAATCCCTGGAATGAAGCCCCGATATTGCTCCAAACCCGATATCCTGACCCCTGTGCCATAAAGCATCATAAGCCTTAAGCCGGATGATTACTGTCTCGAAACTACAGGTGAGACCTTGAACCCGTGAGCTACACCAAACAGATTCTGAACATGTAAGGACACCTACAGACATCCCTAAGATACCCTAGGACGCTGAACCTGAAGCCGTCCATGGCACCTTATAGCCCGACGAACCCCTAAAAACTCGTATTCCCTAAGCCTACTAAGTCCTTGCTCATAAGATGAAAGCCCTAATCCAAAGTTCCAGACTCTGAACCTAAGTCCTTGATGCAAAGATCCTAGTGTTTTTGTTGCTACGATTACTTATCCTACAGTACAGTCTGAATCAGAACTCTTCTTCTATTCATCTTATATTCTTTACTATATAGATACTATGATAAGGTAACCGTACTATTATATTAGTGTTATTGGATGCCCGAACTGAGACCCAGGATGTCTCTGGGCGAGCAGGCGCTGCTGATGATTCCGGCGGAACGAGCCTACGGAGCACAAGGCACTTCTACAAGGGTTTGGGGTTATGTCGATTCGGGTGTTTTTGGCTTATTAGGGCTTCAGGGTTTTAGGGCAGCGTTTTGGCGTACGGGTTGCAGCTTTGTCTTTCAGAGTCTGGAATAGACTTCGCGTGCACGCGCCCCCCCCCCCCCCCCCAACACTCAGAGCACTTTTATACCATGTGGACTTCTTCTTGAAACCTTTAGGCACTTTCGTGGATGAGTTGTTCCTGACAGAAGGGTTAGGTCTGGAATCGAACCAGGATGCGTCTTGCCCCGTTGGGCAGATTTGGGATTCCTCAGTGGCGTGGTTGGACTTCGTCCAGCAGGCGGAGGCGCAGAGGTACTTTGCTGTCGTCCACAGGTCGCACGCATTAAACTGATGGGAAGACACTTAGGGTCAAATAGGACCTGGTAGTCGCGCAGCGCGGCCATGAGCGAAGCGCCTGATACAGGATGCCGGAACTCAGAGTCTTGCAGTCATGCTGACCATGATGCTCGGAATGGTCAGGATGCGAATCAGAACTACGACGATGACAAGACCGAAGACGCAACGAGAACGAGCAAAAAAACGACAAACGAAAGAAAGCAGCAAGAACGCCGATGATGACGAGCACAACGGCAACAACGACGGCCGCATCCGCGACCAGGACCACGACGACGAGGACGAGCAGGACGAGGGACAGGACCTCGACCATGAGCAGGAGCGTTGATCGTCACAGTCATCGTTCTGGAGTCAGCAGCAGCAGGAAGAGGAAGAGCTGCAGGAGAAGCACAAGGAGTAGCAGCACCATCACCGCTACTCAGCAGCAAAGCATTCTCGCGAACCTAAAGCCAAGTGAGATCCCGACTGGCAAAGGGAAAGCTCCACCAAGGAGCGGCCGAACCATGGCAAGCTTGAGCCATCATACCCACAGTGCAAACACAGGCTGGTGATTGGCACAAGCGGACTCGGCCGAAGAGAGGGAAAGATGGACACAAAGATTGCTGATCGATCCATACGGCTGTACGGAATTTTTTTTTCTCCGGATCCTGCCATCTCCACAAACAAGAATTTGCTCCAGAAAAGTCCTTGGAGACACAAGCTGCTGTCATGTGAGTTCTTTCACATGACAGCAGCTTGTGTCTCCAATGACTTTTCTGGAGCAGTGCGTCGAGCATGGACATCATACCACTCGGAGTCCGCAGATTTTTTGAGTTGTGGCAGTTTGGCTGTGAAGCATTCTAGGACGATGATAGCGCAGCGGACTAATGGGTTCTGCTTCCCTGAACTATCCGGGGAAATCTCCGCCCTGGATCCCGGCTGCGCAACTGGCCGAGCTGGAGTCACATGGAACAGAGGAACTAGAAATGCTAATACCTATCCTTGGATTTCCCTGCTGT